CGTTTAATTAAATTAAAACAAGCCGCAGCGTTTTTTATTCCCACGTGTAGCTTTTCTCGATCTTTACTCGTTCGCGACTGTGCGCGCGGCGTGGTGGCACACCGTAAGACGATCGATCCATTATCTCCCGAGAGATTTCTCTTCCTCCTCCTCCTCCTCCTCCTCCTCTTCCTCGCATCGTCCAGTCACGACAATACCCCAGAATCGTGATGTAAGGCGATCGTTCCTCTGTCGTCCTTAGAAGTGGTCTGATAGACATCGCCGATAATCGATTCGCGGAAGGACCCGATCGAGTTCGTCGAAAAAAAAAAAAAAAAAAAAAAAACAAAGTTATTAACCAAAACGGTTTGTCGCGAATCGAATATTTTCGACTGACCCGTCCGGGAATATGCGTGCGACCTTCCTTCGAATCACGCGAGCCACAACGACGACGCGGTCGCACCGACGGTGCGCGTCGTGCACAAAATTGCCGGACGCTTTAATTGTCGAGATCGGACGCTCATGGATAGACGTTAGCATAATCGATCAAAGGGAGAGAAACGATCGAAGGTGACCAGGTGAGGAATCCATTTGCCGATGGATTTTATACCTGCTTCGCGACCGGACGATTCGACCTGCTCTTGCGAAATTAAGGCGATCCTAACTCCGATCGTGCCTCTCTCTCTCTCTCTCTCTTTCTCTCTCTCTCTATCTCTGTCTTTAGTTCTTCTCTTCTTCGAGCACACACGAGGTGCAGATCGCGTTTCTTTAAATATCTAAGTAATTGCCCGGTCGAACGCGCGCGCGCACGCGCACACCGGTAATTACACGCGAAAATTATGTTGAGAAATTACGGGGTTGGCAAGTGGAAGAATCGAGGAACGCGTACAAGAAACACGCGGCGCTCTCTTTGCGAGAAAGGGAACGAAAGTGATAGCGGACTAATGCGCGCTTTGTCAGCGCAAACGGGATGTAATAATCGCGCAGCGATTTTCGCGCGTAATTCATTTTGCTACGCGACGTAATCCGGCCGTCTCGCTCAAATCGAGTTTCTTCGAATCTGCGAGCAAACCGAATTGCGGAAACGGCCTTCGATTCGTCACACTCTAATCATGTGCTGTGACACGCAATAATTAGTCAATTTTCTAATCTAAGAGAGAAAAACAAATAAGTTGTTTTTTTTTTTTAACAATTGCCGAGAAATGATCAATTTGATTGTGTCGAATCCCGCGTGTGTGACGCGCGCGATTAAGCGAACAAGACGGAAACCGACGCGTCGCGGCGCATCGCGTAATTATGGGATCCTCGTTGCGGGCTGCTGACAGCTCGAAGCCTGGACCGCGGTAAACGATATTAATCACAATGCGCGTATTTGCACGCACGTCGCGCTGCAGCCCTACGCAGCCTATAGTCATCTCCGTAGGTGTTGCACATCCGCTCTGTGTCCGTCCGTACGCTGACAGTTGGTTTGAACGCAATTAGCGCGCCCGCTTGTGCGATGGTAAGAGGAGAGCTTGCGCTCGCGCGCGAGAGCGGGGCTCGCCTATCGCCCGCGCGATCGCCGAGTCGAATTAACCGTCTCGCCGCGTTCGCGTCGTGCCTCGCGCGATAGACTAGAAGCTGACAGCCGGGACTAATCCCGCTCCGGGATACGCTATTTTTCACCTCACGCTTATCCGCAATTACGTCATAAAGTGGACCTTATTTTCATCGTAATTCGCGCGAAATAGCGTAATATTTCATTATCATGTTTCTTGCTTTTATAAAAGCGATGTAATTGTTTTTTCTCGAAACGCGATGAATTAAGATTGTATAAAGTGTGTGTGTTTCGCAACAACAAAAAACCGCACATGTATTGTATCGTCGCGTCGCGCGCTCAACAACAACAACACGAGGAGAACAAAATCGAATAAATTTGATAACATTTTATTAAATTAATAAACCGTTCGATATGTCAGTCGCGCGCACAAACTGCCTGACGGTGACTCATCTTTCGCATCTCCGATAATAAACGTGCATTTTTGTCACGTGTCCTCTCTTAGTGTTTTTCTTATTAATCCGATCGACCACATGATAATGTATTGACGCGAGCATCGAGCTGAAACGAATCGGTGCGTTAAGCTAAGTGTTATACGTTAAACGATTATACGATAATCTCGGACTTATGCTGTTTCCTCTCTTTCTGCGATACGACTCGACGTCAACGCCGGCGGTAATCGCGTGCGCGGTTATCAAAGCGGCAAGAAATGAAATATCTTATGACGCGCGTTCGACGTGTGTCCGTTTTGCGTTCGTCGTCGTTGATACACTTCTTTGTGGACGATGACGACGACGACGACGACCACGAAACCATGACCATAAATGTAAATGGACGACGTCGTTTTGCTGGAAGCCGCGAGAGAGAGAGAGAGAGAGAGACAGAAAGACGAGACGAGACGAAGCAAGAACTGAATGCGGCAAAGAAAAGGAAGAGGGAGCGAGCAGAAAGACTCCGGTCGTAACGACGAGGCTCAAGTTTATGAATATTATTTTCCAGCAGATGTCCTGGACGATAGGACGTCGTCGGCGTCGTCGTTGTAATTAATGACGTCGCGAGTGCGACGAGGAGAGGTGGTTCCAAGTTTGCGACAGGTTGAAGAGAGATGAGCGAAAGGATCGGCGGCAAGGGGAGGAGAGAGCGGGAGAACGAAGGCGGGCAACGCGTAAGGGGATGCCGATAAGGAACCCGTAGGAAGGCAGCGGAGAAACTGATGGCGGATGGTAGTTGGACGGCGACAGACAATGCGCGTGAATTATGCCGGAATGACTGGGTAGTTTTAAAGCCAGGAAGCCAACATTAGCGCATTGATACCGAACACATTCTGACTGCGGGGAACCATTAATATTACTTACTTCATAACGCGCGAGCCACCGCAGCGCAGCGCGCGCGCTCGCTCGCTCGCTCGCTCGCTTACTGAGGGTTGACGGGGGCGCGCGCGCGATGGAAACTGCGCGTCTCTCTCTCTCTCTCTCTCTTCCGCAACTTTGCCTTTATCCCCCGCTCGTATAACGACTGCTTATCCGCTATAGTCATATATCCGAAACTTAGTTCTATAGACATCACTCATCATGAAGAAAATGATTGATGCAATTACACCCAACGCTATCAACACATTGATGCGCAAAAATAAATTTATTAAGAAAATAATAAATCTTTATGTTTCGCGCGCGCGAAAACGCAAATTCGAATTTAAAAGCGGAAAAAATCGAAGGTTTTCTCCGAGTAGATAAAGTAGAATAACGGATTTATATCTCTCGGGATTTTATGAAAAAAACGTAAGCGCGGCGCAAAGGGGAAATGAAAGAAAATGAACAGGGACGGTCGAGAGTAACACACGGCGCGCACATACAGGTGCTACGGTCTGCGCAGGCAGTGCGAGTTTGTAAAATCAAAAGGACAAACAATTAATAAAGCCGGCGCCGTCGATTAATCAGAATTTAACTCTGAGTTAAATACTCGAGGATCGCCCTCCGGTTGCGCGGCTGCGTATCTCGAGGGAACGAATGCGCGGGCCACGCAGGATAAACAAAGGTTTACATCAGTGTCAGTCGCAACAAGTCCGAATTCGTCTAGGGTTCTCGCCATGAATATTCACGGTGTGCTCGCAGGTCCGCCGCCCTTCCGCAGCAAACCACCCCCGCCGTTCTCTCTCTCTCACTCACTCTCACGCTGCTCCGGTCCGTTTCCCGATCCCTCGCGATGAACCCCTCGCCCCCCAAACTCTCGCCCGCCCGCATCCGTTCTCCCCGTGGCCTCGTGCCCATTTACCTCCCCCTGCGATATCCATCGAACGGCCACCAGTCAAAGGCTGAAATCACAATACGCGTTTGTCCGGTTGACGAAGTCGACGGTGGGGTCGACGCTAAAGCAAATAGAACGAGAGAGAGAAAGAGAAAGGGGGGGACGCGTGAGTGGTCGGCGGCGAGGCTCGACCAGTGGTCATTGCCTTTGAATTGGAAATTACGTTTCGGACGGCCAAGTGTCGATTTTCACCCTCATATTAACGGCTCTCTCCGCTCGCAGACTCGTGAAAAGTGCGGAGAGGACCGCGAATACATCTCTCTTTCTCTCCTTGTGTGATCTGCTCTCCTTGACGTGAGCCAAACATTTTCAAGATTCGTCCCCGTTCAAACGATTCGACTCTCTTTGTGTTCTTTTTTTTTGCGGAGGTACGCGACATTGAGCTCGATGTCCGAAGGAGAGCGATAATGAAGCGAGGGCCTCCGCCTACTTCGCACCCTTTTCGCCGAGGCGGCCGACGATGAGGGGGTGGAACGGCCAAAAGCCCCTTTCGAAAATCAACCCTTTCGGGAGCGCGACGGGCTCGGGGCGGGCGCGAGTATTTCGCAGGCGCTCGAATGATTTAATCCCCGAATGATGGACGGGCACGTCGCGACGATGATCTGCGTGCCGTAAAGTGACAAGTGGTTAGGATCACGCGGAAACCTCGGTGGCTCGCTCTTCGGTGGTGGCTCGCTCTCCGGGGCTCTCTCTGTGTGCTGGGTATCGGATGAATTGGAGGCCGCCGCTCGGTAGATGGATTTTGCGGCAGATATAGGAGGGAGGGCAGGTAGAATGGCGCCAGGGGGTAGAGAGGGGCGAGGCGGTGCAGGGGTTACGCACCATACAAATCATGTTGGCATTACAGCGTCAGGCCTGGACTCAACTTGTCGCGCGACCGGAAACTCGATACTATGCGCCGATAATGCTGATTTATCGGAAGCGCAGTAGCGCGGCCTAGGCCGCCGGGCGTCATCGACAGAGCCCTACGCTGTGTTTTGTATTTTTGTTCGTTCGTGATCGCGGCACGATTTTTCCGACTAATCGAGAATTACGGGTATTCGCGGATGAACGTGCGCGCGTTCTCGCTCGTCTCGTTCGAGATTACGGCGCCTCGGCCGCAAAAAAAAAAAACTCGATAATCGCAAGAGAGCCCCGACGCGACTTTTCGTTCTTTATATGCGGTTGGAATGTGTCCTACCTTTCGAGATGTTTGACAATATCTTCGTAGGCTGCTCGGCAGTTTTCCCAAACCGTCCCGGACCTGTGGAGCACAAAACAAAAGGCGGTTACGACACGGACAAAAAATGGAAAAGAAAAGATTGAAAAAAACCTCGGCCGGATCGAACGGCGCGATTAACTAAAAATCTGGGAAACGAAAGGAGAAGAAAACGCGCGTGATTTGAGTTTACACGGGCGTTGGTGGAAGAAATCGCGTGGAAGAGAGGCGTCCTTCCGTGCAAAGAGGATACGCCTGATTAAGAGTCCTCGTCTCGTCACTCGCTTGATGTACCGCGGATTCGACCGTTGTCGAACGCACCGGGAATGAAGAGTCTTTGATGTCTCTGATTAAAAAAAAAAAAATAAGTAAATAAAAAGAAAACAAGAAGGAAAAAAAGATGTCAACGCGGCGGGAGCGGAGTTAATTTGTGACCCATGAGGATCCGTATCCGCGCGCGCGGTCGCAAAGGAAAAAATAAGGGTGTAACGAGACCAAGTAGAGAGTGGGCGAAATAATCAAGAGAGAAGACCGGATCTTCGTTTACGGAGAGCATTAAAAAAAAAAAAAAAACGAAACGGAAATCAGACGGATATCGATCGGTGCCCAAAACTGCCCTTCCCTTTAAAAGTCTCTCCTTCCAAACGCACGGGAGAAAAGTTTGACGATGTAATGTCAATAATGTCTGACACGGTTTCCACGGGTCTCATTGTCATTGTTCCGCGTATTTGCACTGTGAAAAATAAATCTCGATGTTGACAGAGAAAGGATAGAGAACAAGAGAAAGAGAGAGAGAGAGAAAGATAGAAATAGAGAGGGAAGCAAGAAGGAAACGCGAGGAGTAGACAGATAGAAAAGCCGCCGCCGTCGTCGTCTATGGTGGAAACTGGTCGAAGAGGTCACGCAGGGCGATGAAAGACAAGAGAAAGGGTGGAACGGGCGGTGGCGGCGACGGCAACGGGCGATGAGAAAGAAGGAGATACGGCGAGTTAAGGGATGACGATGAAGCAGGACAAGCGGGGGAGGGAGGGAAGCGCAGAAGGCGGAGGGACGCGCGGTAACGGCGGTGGCGTCGGTGTCCCAGGATGGGGTTGCGTTGAATTAATCATATTCCGGTGTTTGTCGTGGCGCCCCCAGACGTAATCCGTCTTACCTCCCGATCCCTCTCGCTCGCTCGCTCGCTCGCTCCTCCGTCGCGATAGATTTGCATTTTAATTAAAAGCAAAGCGCTGAAATCATAATGCGAAACGTGCGGCACCGCCTTCGCCGTATCATTATACACGCGTGTACGGTCCGCCAACACACAATCGCACGTCGCTACACGCACTCGCAAACGCTCGTCGCTGCCGCCGCGTCGTTAAGAAAGATTGAGATGCGTTTAAAATCCGGAACGCCGAGCTCCGCATTAAAACTCTTCATTCGTCGTTCTATACATGTGTCCGAGGTGCATATCAGATTCCCATGTAAACAGTGGGAAAAACTTACTCTTTCACGGCGTTTTCTCTCTTTTTTTTTTTTCTATACCTCTCTTTCGTCACCTCTTTATCCCTCCAGTCTCGTTCCCCTCTGACGATTGCGAGAAATCGTCGTTAGTTATTTTTTTTCTTTTTTTTTTTTGAGACCCTAAAGAACAAATCAATCTCACGAAAAACAGAAATTCTTTCGTCTGTCGCTAAATCTCTCGATTTTCCCGAGCGCGCGCCGCTCAAAGAGCGAACGCAAAGAGGGGTAGTGGTTAAGGAGGATGGGGCTAATTACACAGAGCGGATGTAATCGAAAATTAAGGCGACTCTCCGTATCCTCGAAAGCTCGGGAGCGCTTTCGCGGCGAGGGGGATGTACCGAGAGCATCTATTAGAAACGCGTTAACAAATGCCGGGATTAGCCCCGTGTCTACCCCCTCGAGCAAGGATGCTGTTCCTTTGGCGCTCCTCTCTCTCTCTGTTTCTCGCCCTCTCCCTTCTCCTTTCCTTCTCTTCGCTCTTCGGTTCTTCGCGGCTCTCCACACACTCCACGTAGCCGAGTAAAGCCGCGATATTCGTCTTGGGACCGCGCGGCGAGGATTTGCGTCGCTCCAAGAAGACCTTCTCCGCGGCTTCAAAGATGGCCTAACGCACGAGGGTAGAGATTCAAACGTTTGCAGAATCTTAAGGTCAATCCGAGTCATGAATAATGTTGCGCGAGGCGCGTTCTCGAGACAAAGCTTTGCATCATCTTCTCGCAAGATTACATCGTGTCTTCTTTTTCGACGAGATTGACAGTTCGCGTATCCACACTTTAATTAACTACATTTTACCGCGGTTCTTCGATTATAATCTGATACTCGCAAAAAAGAATCTCGTTTCAATTCCGAGTACGTGTACGTGTATAAAACAAAAAAAAAAGAGAAAAAAAATTGGGCTGATCGCATCGGCGCGATAGTGAAACGTAATTCGAGTAAACGACGACTGACTGAGAGAGGAAGTGAAGTCGAAGGAAGACGAGAGAAGGAGGGCTATAACACGCGAAGAGAAGCACAAGAAGAAGGAAGAGATCAAGCGGTGTCAAGACACCCCCTCGAATTTCCACGGCTTCTCTTCCAATCCTCTTAAAGTACGTATTCCTTTGGCCTCGCCGGCCGGAGAGAATTTCGCCGTGCAGGAATTAAAAACAAATAAATCCAATTTCCAAATGATCCGCCGGCGATTCGAGCGCGAGAAAAGCAACCGGGAAATGAGCAGAAAATCGCTCGAGAAGTTTTAATTTTCTTGCGCGCTCGATCTGGGCGCGCATCACTTCGCACCTCCGTTATACCATCTGATCCGACGTGACTTGTCCCTAGTCGACTCGTAAAGCTCGGGGAGGAAGTTAATGAAAATGTTTCCCGCTGCGCGCAGCTTCCGGAGTCGCTCGTGAGAGAAACGGCGCTATTTCTCTCTATCTCTCTTTCACACACATACACACATTTTCTCTTTCACACACATTCTCTCACGATACAGGCGAGTCGAAACCAGAAAGGAAGGGAGAAACTCACCTCGCGAGGGCTTCCATGTTGGTCATATTTGGGTTGACCTTGAGGCCCTGCTCGGCGCGAGCCTGTGCTTGCGCCTGCAGGTGATGTGGCAGACTGGCCGGTGACAGGATAGCGGTGTGTCCTGCACCTGGATGCCCGCCGAGCTGCATGAACTGCATGTGGCTGAGGTGCGTGGGTGGGTGATTGTATCCGTTTGCCAGAAGCGGTGATTTCTCCATCCTCGGTACGTCTGCAAACAGAACAATATACGCGGCCGTTTAAGATCGTTGTCGGCGCTTTGAACAACGTTACACGTAACGCGTCATCATTTATATCCCTCCCTCGGCTTCCGCCGAAGAAAACCGCATAAATTCAATTATCGAGCACACACACACACACACACACATACACACACACCGTCACCTTTCGTGCCGTTCTTTGGTTCACGGGCCGGCGAGGAAGCGAGACAGGAAGATTGAGATTCGGAGGAAAGAGACAGAGACAGAGACAGAGGAGTAGAAGGAAGAGAAGCGGATGTATATCCGGATTTTACCGGAATTGGGTGAGACGTGTAGCTCCTGGAGAGCCAAGGATAAAGAGCGCTTTTGCGAGCTTGATGGATCGCCGGCCGCTTAACCAAATATCAATCACAACAGGCGGCGGTGGTGCACAAGCTCTGCATATAATCTGCGTTGATTCGCGCGTCCGTCGCGCTAGGCCCGTGTGTTTGCGCGACGTCTTAGCAAGCCAACGGTGATGGATTCACTCGCGAATTCACGAGACCCCCAGGATAGACCGCCGCGATCTGGAGTTTCGACACTCCTGCCCTTCTTTTTCTCTTTCTCCCTCTCTCTCTTTTTATATATATATAGGTTCTGAATATATTCGATATCAAATGCGACAACTTGTATTGTTCGCCCCGCTACGAATTCTCGATTTTTCAAGATGCGCATCTCTTTTTCTCGTTAGTCGACGGGCGGGATAATGTATGCGTGGTCACGTTTTTTGATCGATGCCACATGTACATTCGACGCACGGGAGAATCGCGAAAGGGACGACGGCGTCCTGTTATTTGTTACACGCCGGCACACTGTACCGATATCGATACGTTTCCCGCTCGAATGTGTTTAAACTTCGATATGTGGCCTTATATATTTTCGTGCGCTCCGCGGGTAAGTTTGCCGGGTCGCGCATTATCCCGCAAGCGGCGCTTGCCACACGATGTTTCCTTTCGAGCGAACACGCGCTCGAAATTTCGTAGAGGTCGTATATCTTTTTCGGTTCGGACGAGAACAATATCTCGAATTCTTTCGTAAGTGGTCATCATCCCGCTCGATGATCCCGATGGAGGCTCGCGGCGTTTCACCCGCGATTTGTTGCGTCTTTCTCGGAACCGTCATCTGCGTCTGTCCCGCGTGAAATATTGGATAAACAATACTGTTGTCATTGAAGATCAACTTTTGGCCGGAGAGAGAAAGAGAGAGAGAGAGAGAGAAAGAGAAAAACTGGTCGGCTCGCCTTTTCGGGAATCAGACTATGCGATGGACGGGAGGGGGGAGGGAGAGAAAAAAAAAGAGAGAAAGGTAGGAAAGGAGTATGTGGAATGAGTGGTGCCTATTCATTACAAATTATCTAAATGGCAGTGATTTCGGCGGACCGGCTGGCCGTTTGACGAGTAAGTGGCGGGTTTGCCGGTCCCAGTGACTGTCATTCCGCGCCGGCCCCGGGCCAATTGGCAATCGTCGACCGGCGAACGACCGAATCGCTCGACAACCACTGCGGGACCCGGCCCATGACCGGCCCTAAAATTGGACTTATTACAACTTATAGAGCGCGATTTGAACGCTCCGCTCAATAACATATATTATCCCCAATCCATATGATTTAATGAAATCCCTCTAAACTCGCCACTTAGCCTCAGTACCTTCTCGCGGCAGTGGCCCTTTTTGTATATGTGCTCCTCGCGTAGATTGGTATGTGTACGCGCGAAAGACCGAAAGACTCCGCCGAGACGCAAAAGCGGGAGAAAGGGAGAAAGGAGAGGCGCGCGAGGAGAATACGCGAGACGAGGAAAGCGCGTGCGCGATCGTTGTGTATACGTAAAACGCACGTTTCGTCATTTTACAACCTCGGCGGGTACGTATTTACCGAGCACAATGTACGCGGCGTCGAAAATCCTGTGATCGATGAAGACGTTTTCGAAGTTTCTGACGCCCGTGCGCGCACAATTCTCTCCTCTTCTTCGTCGCTTTTAAAGACGCTGCTCCGTCTCTCGCTGTTCGCGTCTGCGCGATCCCGATCGATCCGGTTTTGAAACCCGGCTTCTCGCGCGCGGTAATATACGCAATCACTTTTTCTCTCTGGATCATCGGACGAGGAAGAGGAAGGGGGGAAGGGGGATAAATGACGCGCGCGGCGTATCCTTCGCAGTCGGTGAGAAACGAATATCTTCTGAGAAAATAATGGAATCAAGAATTCAAAAAGGGGAGAAACGGTCGCCGAAACCCCGAAGCCAAATGCGAAAGACGATAAAACACAATTTGAGCTAAAGACTGCACTCCTGGTATAACTTTCCTCCCCCTCCTCCCGTCCCTCCTCGCCTCTCTTACCCCCGTGTGCAGACGAACGCGCCGCTACTTCCCCCGGCTCCTCTCGGAGCTGATGAGGTGACAACCCATAATTATACAGACCGCTTTCTGTCTGGGACTGACTGCGGTGGCATGCAGAGGAGAGGCCTCCATCATTCTCTTCTCCGGTTTTCTTTGCCCTCATCTCTTACCTCCCACCCTCCATTTCCTTTACTCTCTCTTCTTCTCTTTTCGACTCCTCTTCCTCATCACACATCTTCTTCTCCTCCTTCTGCCTGCTTTCCCTCCCCCCGCTTGCCCTTCTCTGTGTGTGTGTGTGTGTGTGTGTATGTATTTCTCATTCTCGAGTTGGTTCAGGAGGTTCCGGGCCTCAATCGACCTAACGCTTAATAGTGATACGTACGTTTTCTTCATGTGAGGAAGAGTCGAAGGTGGAGCGAGTCGAAGCGAAATGACGAAGAGGGAGGAGGCCAGACTGACCGGAGTAGTCGCTTCCAACCGTGCCATGTGTGCCCGTAGGAGAAGAATAACTTTTGCTACTTCTTTCCTGGTGTTAATTACAAAACGCGAGAATAAATTGCCGGACTAAATGAGTGCCCGGTATCTCTCGTCGGTCTCGTCACGTCTTTCCTCCCCTCTTCCTCCCTTCCTCGTTTCTTACAACGAGCCGCGCTACCACGACGGCCGGATGAATGAAGGCTATGGCCACACACGTACACATACACGTTATACGCAAATAAACTTTGTCATAAACTGATCATTCCTGTCCGTACTGTTGCGACACGGCTGCTTGAGTAATATACTAATTCAAAACTATATTTTACACCGCAAAATAATAATGAAAACTCTAATATTTGTTTTTTTCTTTACGAAGTAAGTAACTTTATTTTATATTTTTATCCAGCCGAAATTTCGTGTTCGAAAATTATAAGTTTTCCGAGATCTATGTCTCGTCAGATTTTGACTCGTTTCGTGGCTCTTTCGGCTCCGAGCCGGTGAACCGAGGGTCACGTGAAATTATTCGGAAAATATACCTTTTGTGCTTATCATTTTCGGCGCATCCCCTCGATCTATTGTTCTTGCCAAACGTCGAAGGAGTCTCTCTACCGAGAGCTCCTCGAATTCGCCATAAGCGCACTTTACGCGCGTATTTGTGCTTAAACACGCATAAAATATTTATCCCCATACACGATTCCTCAAAATTCCTCTTGAATCTCGATCAAAGAAGCCGGCCAATGACATCGCGATTTCTTCCAACTCCACCGCAATCGACTTTGCGCCGAATCCGTTCTTCAGATTTCAAACACGTAAAACCGATAAAATAAACTTTTATTAGAGATTCTCGATTTCTCGCGCTTTCATCGAGAATAAATAATAGACGCGTCGCGCGTATCGCGTTCGGTCTATTTAAGGTGCATCTTCCGTGCCGCAAGAATCTGGGCCGATCGAAGGCAAAACGAAGTGTAACGGGAAGACGCGCGGTTTCTGCGGCGCGCATACACATACACGCGCATACACGTAACGCGCGCGCGCGCGCGCGCAGGGAATAACCAACATTATTCTCGCCCTGGAAGTGTGTTGGTACATAAACACGAGACGGGAAACACAGTTTCGCGCAGGAGGAATCCGGTTTTTCAAGTAATCGAGAGCCGAAGCGGCCAGCCAGCCAGCCAGCTAGTCAGCCATCCAGCCAGGCAGGCGAGAGGCAACTCTCCGGGCCAGCAAGCAGGAGAAGCGAGCAGGCAAGCGAGCAGCCATCAAGGTAGCTCCCAACGTCCGTCCGAGTCTGGAAAGAACGAAAGAGAGAGTGGATGCCATAGGAATCCACACCTCTTCTCGCTCCTCCTCCGCCTCGCTGTATTCTTCTTTTCTCGATTTCCTTCTATCCGATACCACACCCAACCCTCTTAATCGATCGATCAGATAATGCAGCACGTACAGCCGTACGTATTGAGACGCGAGTCTCGCGACTGCAGGAACACCAATGTCCGGATTCCAATCCGAATAATAGGTGGCAAAAGTAAGTAAGTACAGTCGTCGGACGTGTTTACACGAAACAATTTGTACAACGTGGAAAATTGACCACAATAACACAATTTTCTTTTCCTGAAGATGGTTTTTAAAATGATAAAAAAAAAAAAAAAAAAAAAAAAAAAAAATGAAACCAACGCGATTCAAATCCGAAAATTATTTTCAGGAATTCTTATAGTATATCGCGAGACAAAAAATATGACAATTTTCTTTTACAGAGAAGTATAGCGAGGTAACAATGTACATACGAACTTGTTACTCGTGTATATACGCCGCGGATACTTCCTATTCACTTCTTGATACGCGTGTACTTTCTTACCCGTCTTCTCGAGGAACGACGCGAGTGTATAGAGACGTAGACGAAGTATCTTACAACCGATAAATAGAGGCTATACGAGAGTATTGCGAGCTCTTCTCTGTGAGAAATAGGCAGAAGAAGCAACTAATCTCGTACGCGCGGTGCATCTTCAGTGACAATATAACGTTATACGAGAGACTTCGAGACACACTTCCTTTTTCTTACTTCTACACTTTGTTAAGTCTCCTTCCCTCTTCCCTGACCTCTCTCTTTTTCTCTTTCTCTCTCTCTCTCTCTCTCTTCCGCCTCTTCGACCGGCGGTTATTTCTACTT